TTCTAAGATATTTGCAGGAGTTTTCATTCGACAGAGCATTGATCAGGGATCCAAATCTGCTATTCTGATGTATGGTACTCTTCCATAGATCACCTCAATCTCTTATATCTCAATATGGAATTTGGTTCATTCTTCTACAGGCTTTCAATATATTTCACCTCTCAATACAATGAATATCCTCATGATAGAAAGAACAAGTTGAATTCTACCAATGAGCACTAGACTTTTCCGGGAGATCTCCTCCAAATCACTGGTATGATTATTGGAATCGTGAGCATCAGCATGTAGGTTCCAGATCCAAATGGTAGCATTAGAGGAACGAATAATCATAAAATCCTCTTTCCGGACAATACATAAACAGAGACCCACCAACAGTCAAGTTTTTAGTGAACTTGTGCAAGATAATTATTTTCTTAATGTGATGTTTAGTCACTTTCTTTCCCATCCCCCATCAACTGAATCTGGTTGGCCTTAAATAGTCTGAGCAAACAAAGGGTCTACTTGATGCTGCTTCCATCTCTAATATTCAGTTTACGTGGTTGACCTTGAAGTCGTGGTATGCAATTGAGAGGCTTCTCTTTGTTTCTACGCTTCTTGAAATTTAATATTTTGGCATGCAAAGCATCTTATCACATACAAAATAAGAGCTAAAACGTGCCTCTTACTACAAGGTCAAAGTCAAAGTCTGACCAATACAATCATCTGCTGTGGCCGATGGATCGTTATGGTGACACTCTCTGATTCATGAATTTTTGAGAGTATATGTGACAGTGTCAAAGCTCATCCATGTTTTACATTACTTTTTGTGCTTGTGTTTCCTCCCCGGGATTCAAAACAATAATATACTGTTGGGTGCTCGTTTACAATGTTGAATTGCTCAGCTTTTGCGGGTACGAAAACGTCCTCGTCCTCCCCATCTCGTAATCATGGAGTAAATTAGTCAAACATCTCCTGTTCTTTCTGTTGTCGTTGTCTTCCTCATTAAATACTCTGACTTCACGGGTATCTGTCTTTAGCGTCGTGCTGCTTCCAAGACAGAGTCGGGAGAGGAAATCGACAAGGGAGAAGAGAACATGGGACGTTGGATCTGAAAGAAAAAGTCAAATCCCATTTGATCAACTGTTTGCCGGCCAGGTTTGTCTTCTAGAATACCCTCCAAAAAAAAAAAGAGAAATTAAACTCGTAGACTTGGTGGATAAATGACAGATTCCATCTGAAGAATTATAAGAGACTCCAATCACCGACGAAGTTTTTTTTTTTATGGAAAAGAATAATGTCGTTTAAGACCATTCACTCTGGAATCCATTTTCTCATGGTCACGGGAGAAGAGACTTTGTGCACATCACGGGAGACGAGACTTCGTGCACATCGAAGGATACACTATTCTAGAGACTTTGTGCACATCAATCACTGTCCGTTAATTAGATACTTTCCGTTAATTGGATATTATAGAAGTGTTAACCTAAAAGAAAATGACTAAATCATCTCTCTTATCAGGCAATGATGGACTGAATCATCTCTCTTACTAGGCAATGATGTGAGAGAGGCTATGGTCGATCAGCTCCGATGAATAACAATCTACTATGGTCCTGTTAGTCTTCATGAATCATAATTCATGAGAGATCGTTCGAGCCTAATCCCTCTTTATCAGTTTCTTTAGATAATAATTCATAAAAAGTTATTCAAGATTATCACCCCATAGACCAAACAGGGGGATATTGGAATCATTACAAAGAATCCACTTAACCAAAAAAGTCATTCAAGATTATCACCTCATTGACAAAACATTAAGGGGGATATTGGAATCGTTACAAAGAATTCCCTTAGCCGATCAAATATATAAATTAACTCCCGATGTTGACCCAAGGATTAAACTTTATTTCAAAAACCTTTCACACTATAAACGATGCTCCGAATTTATTTGAGCATCGAAGGGATTGGATGCAAAGTCACCTTCAAGACCATCTCAAAGTCATCTCACCCTCATCGATACCAACGTTTTTCGAAAGTCCCTCACCTTTGAGTCCAGAGGAAGAGGGCCGCATACAAAACTCACAAAGGAAAGCATCCTTAAAAAAAAAAATGAAAAAAGGTATGAGAAGATTTTGCAAAATTTATCACCCAATTGTTGGATTCTAATAGACCCAATAGATGGAACATGTCACTGACACTGTTCGATATTATTGTGGGGGCATCTTATGCACGGTGGTAGAACTGTTCCCACAAGCAAAGCTTCTCTGTAATCGAACACTTGATCTGTCGCCCATAACAGTGAAATTATATGATGTTGGAAACTCGATATTCTCATGATTCTTCAGCCGACAGCTGTAGATAATGTAAAAAGGCAAAGATAAGGAATAAAATTTGTTCTATTTCTCGTTCATAATATTTATTTTTTTGCCTGCAATCTCGTTTCCTATAGAACAGTTTCGCCTCTCACTTCACGAGGAGCGCCGCAATGCCTAACGATGGATGCGGAGATAACGGCGTTAGCGCCGACACGTCGAATAACCCCGCCGCATCCGCCTCCACGAAGTCCCACATGCTGCTCCAACTTGACGGCGTCAGTGTAAACGCCGATGGAACAGACTCCGCCTCGACGACCTCAGCCTCCGGCGACCTCTCCTTCTTGATCTCTCGCGGCCCCACGGCCACCTCCTCAGCCTCCCTCTTCCTTTTCCCAGTGGTTTCCGACTGCGGCGCAGGAGGGGGAGGGGCCAGGTGGCGGGAGCTTCCGACCTCGTTGGGGAAATTGAGGATGGCCTTGCGGCCGCGCATCTGGAAAGCGGCGCGGTCGTACGCTCGCGCGGCCTCCACGGCGGTGTCGAAGGTCCCCAGCCAGATTCTGGACCCCCGGCGGTTGGGGTCGCGGATTTCCGCCGCGAACTTCCCCCACGGCCGCTGCCGGACGCCGCGGTACCGTCGTGCGTCGTCCCGAGCCACCAGCGGCCTCTCCTCCTCCACCCTGTCGAAGCCAAGCTGGGAGGAGAGGGCGACGGTGAGCGAGGACAGTCGGTCAGGGCCGGCGGGGCCGAAGCTGATCATGGGGGCGGCTGGCTCGGGGAAGCGGTATCCGTCGTGGTGGTGGTGATGGCTGCCGATGGGTAGCGGCGGGGGAAGGACAGCTGAGGGGGGCGTCGGAGGAAGGTCAGCGAGGAGGTGGTGGCGTATGAAGTCGAGGGTGAGGTTTCCGTTGCCGCGGCCGATCAATGACGCCATAAGCGCAAGAAGGAAGCAAAGAGCAGGAGAGAGAGCGAGAGGAGATGGGTGGTGGAAAGAGGGCGGTTGGTCTCCTCGATATTTATACCCGTGAGTGAAGGGAAAACGGAATAAAGGACAAGAAGTATGATGCAGACATCATGAAACGGAGTCGGTAAAAAGGGGGAATCGGGAAAAGGCCAACTGAAAAGAGACGTCGAATAAATAAGAGAAAAAGGATAAAAATGAAAAAAAAAAAAAAAAAAAAGCGTGTGTGGAAAGTCTCCATCCGATCGATTAATAAATTATCATATAAGTGATAAGTCTCAAATTGAATCTTATGTGTTAACAACGTTATATACGTTATATTAATATAATAATTTTGTTTTATTTTAATATAATCAAAAAAGTTGATGAGGTTACAAAGGTGATAACGAGTAAAACGTATGGAGGGATCGAGCGTAATTCGACGAGTCCGTATTAGCATCGTAACATATTTATAAAATTTTCAGAAATCATTTCAAAGCATCACAAACTAAATTAGCTAACGTTTTTTAGTTTCATATATAAATAATGGATTAAGAATGAACTTTTCTTTTTTTTAGAAAAAAAGAAGTTGTTCGTATACACTAATTATAAGGTTAAATAAGGCATACTGTAAAAAGTGAGTCATTAACGAAAATGAGCTGATGTTACCTTTATTTTAATGTGGTAAAGTATCTCGATGCACTTCGCACCGACCTATTACACGATCCAAAGATTTCATTGGAGGACATATGGTTTGATGTTTTCAATGTGGGTGTTGAGCATTCTATGTGGCATTTAATTAGTCCCCACAGACGTTAGATCTCGTCAATGCCACAATTCCTAGCTCTTCAAATATGTATGGATTAGGTGACGAGAGTGCGATAACTCGCCTTGCCAATTCCAGTCAACAGATTCGGTGTGACACACTCAAGTCAAAGGTCACTAGAGAAGACCGAAACATTCAATTATTTGGAGCCTAAAATTCGGTCAAAGCTTACTTGATCCGAAGCCGCTTCATGACCGCAACAGGGTTTGACAATTGCCGAGTCAAGCAACGAGGAAGGGTTGACCTTTAACCTGGTCAGACTTACGTAAAATTGCGGCTACACCATCTCGGGTCGGCATCAATAGGAGAACCCGACCCATCATTAGGATCATGAAGGTCTCATTTTGTTTCTTATTTGCTCTTACAGGTTAATGTAATTTGTATATGTATATTGAAAGTTGATTTCATTCGCAAGAAATAAATCAAGCGTGCAAGAATGAATTATATTCAAACGAAAAGAAGAATGTGTTAAGAATATCATGTCCATCATAATCTTACGAGTTTAAACTTTTATACTCTATGACATCGAATAAATCTTTTAAGCATAACAATAGAGTATAAATCTTTTATACTCTATGACATCCAATAAATCTTTTAAGGAACCATCAGTCATTTTGTACGAACAATAGGAAATAGCCACCGTATCTTCTATGAATTTTTTTATTAACAATCAACAATTACAATGATCTACAATTTATTTCGACGTTATAAAAATTAAAGATTATTCAAACCTATTGTTCTAAGAATTCTTTATTGAATTTTTGAAGATTATTCAAACCCACCGGCCAAGGGAAGCCTAGACTAGTATGACAACTTGTTCTATCCCTGCAATTTTTTTTCTTTTTTGTTTCCAATGTAATGTCTAATTTGCTTTTGAGTTTTATCATCTACCTTCTTCTTAAGGTCGTGTCCACAGTAGTGACTAATTACCATGAATGCACAAAAGACATCATTCGGAAAAGGGTTCACCGTAGCAAAGCAGCTTTGTGGGCAGTTATGAATGTAGAAAACAGCAGCTCTCCTCTTTCTCGCACAACAATAATGAAAATTGCTGATGTGGGGAGTGATCACAGGAAAAGGAAAAGAAAATTAACATTTTGAGTGTGTGTTATTGGTGTGAAGTATTCGGTTCCTTCCTAATCCACTGTTTTCTAGTGGACTGCCCATGTTGTTGTACTCTTGGAGTGTGGGCTCTACCCTTTCTTCTCATGTTGTTCTTCCTGTTGTTGCTCATGGTGGCCTTGTTCGTGGAGTTGCTTGCATTTGTTTCCTCGGAAGCATGGCGTGAAACAGCTTGGTCAGCATCGTTTTCACTGGTTCCTGCAGATGTAGTAGGCGGAATCACAGACTCGCTGCTGGTTGCTGAGGATACAGTGGGCGGGTTGATGGGCTCAGGAAGAAACATTCCAGGTAGTATGGCGAGATCTTTCCTGGGTTCAATTAAGCCATTGTTGTCCTGCTGCAACTTCAAGAGGGCCTCAAAATGCTGCCTTCTGTTTTTCTCCGACTTTGAAAGTAGCAGCTCGTCATCTTCTCCCTCGTCTATTCCTGAAAGACCCTGCAAACCAAAAGTTATCTAAGTGGCTTCTTGTCAATGGCAACAGAGTTACTCAAAAATGTTTTCAGTCACATACAAGAGGACAGAGAGAAAGAGAAAGGGGAGGGGGTCCTCGTATGACACTTTCTCTTCAGATTTCACAGCAACTTTACACTAGTAACATGAGAAGGAAGATCCACCGCCGCCACCCCTCTCCTACAACCTCCATCCTTAAAGAACTGCCACCAGCACATCTATGCTTCTTTCTTGTGTAGCAACCTCGCCAACTCTCTCTCTCTCTCTCTCTCTCTCTCTCACACACACACACACACAGCCAAGTTCATTGTGATGTAAATCTCCATTACTCCTCCCTCATCAAACTAGGGCATACCATCAACAACCTGTCTGCTTTATGCCAAGCTTCACAACCAACGCCATCATCAAAACACACATATAATATAGATTGCATGTAAAATATACTTTCTTATAACAAAAAAAGGACCTTAACCCCTATAATTTGTGCCAAGACAAATTATGACAGAAATCATTAGGTGAAGCAAAGAGAGATAAATTCGAAAAGCATGAACATGCATTGACTTGTTCATGCCTGATGGTTCTTAACCGAACTCAACCAAGTATCATGTTGAGCTCATAGATGCACGCCATTTCTTTATTTGACTTCAAGTTAAGACCAAACTGATGCACTTCCCTAAGAGAGAGTGTTGTTCTGACATATCTTTCCTATAAGAAACCTGTAACTAGTAGCCATTGATTAATCAAACACCATCACTAATCGAATCCCAGGACTAAGCTAAAAGATTCGCCATATAATGGAGAAGCCTGAAAACATCTTTGCAAAATGTCTCAGTAAATAAACAAAGAAGAAGATATCTCTGCATATTTCTTTAAAAAACTTAAATTAACATATTTCCTTTCAAAATTTAACAAAGTTACATATATACTATAACTGATGGCAACAAACTAAAAGGAGCTGGTATAAAGGAATGAAAATAATAGCACATGGACTATAAGTTCTTCAATTCATTCGGGAACTCATACATACCATGCAAGATGTATCTGGTTCCAGATACTCGTGAGCATGCTCAATATCTTTCTCATCGAACACCTTGCGACAAACAGGACAATTTCCTTTTTGCTGATCTACACCAATACACATACCGGAACTCATCAGTGGTTATTTGTTATTAAAAATTAATAACTAGTAGGGGAAAAAGACATAATGGTTATTTGCTTGAGTTTACATAATAGTAGCCAGATTTGTCACAGCCTCTTAGAACAAAAGCATTTTGTTTCTTGGACATAAATCCATTACCATACCCTTCATCTCTGACTCAAAATCTAACCTTATTTTTCTCAACCAACAGAATTAAGAATGTTTGAGATGGACATGTTGTAAATGTACAGGACATGATGCATTTGATAGAACCTAACAGATGACAGAAAGAATATTGAATTGTCTAGTAAAAGTTAACCTTACCCTCAAATTTTGTATTCATTACATCAGGAAAAAGTTATCTAATTTTCTTATTGTTATCACAAAATGTTAGCCTTACCCTAAAATTTGGAATTCATTACATCAGGAAGAAGATATCTAGTTTTCTTATTGTTGTCGCAAATCAAACCATTAAATTAACATGACAAATTTGAGATGCAAATTCCTTCTATTACATCCTACAATGATCCAAATCACCAAAAGTTTAATATGTGGGCAGCAAGCACAGTTGCTGAAACTTTGAATATCTATTAGTGAGCACAGCTTTGCCATTTCTTTTTTGATGTATTTGTTTTATAAAAAGAAAGTACCTCTTGTGCTTTCAAGATTGGTAGCTGTGGCTGTCTCAGTTGCTTTGGATTCTCTCTCCTCCTGTACCCATTTCCAAAACCTGATAATGCATTCACTACCACATAAAAGAAAAAAAAATCATCAACCACTAAGTTGATAATAAAAAGATTCAATAATTGCATAAAAGGTATCAAATGTAATTTTACCTATGAAAGCAGTGATAGCAAGACATCAACTTCATAAATGGCAAAGAAGAGCCAGTCTTATCTTTGGCAACCAAAGGATACAAACACAAAGGGCAGTTTCCTTCAGGATGGTTCATATTAGAAAGAACCTCCACTGCTTCCTAGTATTCAGCAATCAGTCAGAATAAAGCACATATAAAACTATCTGCATATAATAGAAATCATTACATGAAAACACTTTGAATCTAATACAATAAATTCAAATCAAATGTCACTGAGAAGAAACATTCAGCAATAAGATTAAGATTTTATATAAATTGACACTCTTTGGTTGAGTCGAAACCAGGTGGAACCTTCTGTATTAGGGACTGCATTAAACAGTCTATGTAGGAATTCTCCAACAAAAACAAAATTAATACATCAAAAAACTACATGTAAATTAACATGGCCTTTCAAATCCAGACAAACATGGACATATTGTAAGGAGCATGTTGACACGTAAACATGATAACCAGCCTTGGTACAGCGGAAAATCCACTCTATTGCATCTAAAGCATCATCAGTTCAAAATGTGGAAACAATCTCCCTGCATATAGGATGCTTACATCTAATCATCCCCACAACATGCAGTGTGGAAAACCTTGCACTAGGCAACACCTTCCTATTGATTAATAGATATAGTAAAGGGCGCCTCAAAAGTTACATTGCTTTACATGGATTTAATGACTGAATTGACCAAAAAAATAAAATGAGTTCCATCTTGCAATTGTGTTTGTGAACAAAAATACCAGAAACTAGATGGTTTTAAGCTAACAATGAAAATTGAGACCTTTAATGCATCTTGAAGACTCTTATTGAGTCTACTATCTCGGATCCAATTTTCCTAACTGTATGCTATAAGTTTGAAAAAAATAACAACATAATATTATGATCAGCCTTATCTTCCTAGTTGACCAGTGACTGCTTTAGTTTTGACAGATTCACGTACTTTGCACTATGAGTAGAAAATGTAGCGTAAGAGATTCCTGCTTAAAGCAATGCCAATTGGCACATTCCACAAACTGAGCCATGACAATGGCCTAAAATTAACATCCCAAAGCACAAAAATACAGAAAGAGTATACATCCATGATCCATCTGCACATCAGAAAATTCGGTTTTTACAAGTTCAAAAACACATTGAAAAGACAGTTACAAAACTACCTCACAAAGGGCTACAAGCATCAAGCAAGAAGATAACTCCAATGCTTTACTCTGTATGATAGTAATTAGATATGTTTGTCGACTTTCATCAAGGCCCTTCGCTTCCACAATGTACACACGAGGAGGTGTGCTTGGATACTGCACTCACAATTAAGAAGAAAAGGAGATTGACTGCATTATATGCTAAAAGAAGCAGTTAACTGATCAATCATGGTTAATACTTGCATGTGGATTAATCAAGAAGTATGTTTCATCCATTCTTTTTGGCAAAGATTAATTCTTAAAGTTTCAAGTGAAATCAAGTTTCATATTGGAAGACAAATAATTAAACCTAAAGTGAAAAAAAAAAAAAAAAACTTAAAAGATCACAAGCGACAAGAGGATCATCATACATGAATATTGTAATAGAAGAAAAATTATCATAACTTGAAACACAACTTTCAATCATAGCATGAATTCACTTTGTGGTGAACTTAGGTTAACAAAAGGAAAACAAAGAAAAATGGAATGTGATGCAAAATTCAATCACAGCATGAATTCACTTTGTGGTGAACTTAGGTTAACAAAAGGAAAACAGAGAAAAAATGGAATGTGATGCAAAAATTCCTAGGATATAGTTCTCCCACATGATTACAAAAATCTTGGACCATATCATAAAAGTAATATGTTTGCTCCTATTGAATCGATTGGCTTTACTTTGTACAACAATCATAAAAGGACCAGACTCATTCAACAAGCAGTTTGTTTCACTGCAAAAAGACCCAAGATTGAAAAATGAAATAACTGATATCTATAATTTATCAATTCATATTTCAGTGCCATGCTGAAGGAGACAACCTTTTCTAAACTGACCAGCGACTGTATGAATATGCTGCATATAGGAAATCCTATTAGTTTCACTGTACCCGATTAGATGCTTTTATACCAAGGATGACTTCCACAAACTGCAGTAAATTAGAGGCAAGAATTAGTAATAGTGACATTTAATATGAGCAAGAAAAGTTTCGATTTGAAATAAAACAGATTACAGATACTGAAACCAAAAAGGTGCTCATAAATACATTAACAAGTGGGATTAATCGACTACTCAAAATGAGTGACTCATCCATTAACACAAATCTCCCATGAAAAGATCAGCAAGGCATGACTTGCATGTGATATAACAAAAAATATCGAAACACATTGACAATCCAACTCATTAAGAGGGCAAAAAGGATTTACAAGGCAAGGAAAAAAAATTGCTGTAGTCAAGAATTGTCATGATGCTATGAGAGCTTCTAGCCATCAAATAGTTAAAAGTGTACAAGAAGCCCAAGAAACTGAAAAGATCTATTTCTATTATCAACATCTCAGCTGATGTTAGAATCTATGGTTGAAGAAGAGTATTTGACTACAAATTAGAAACATCTACAGTAGGTATAATACAAAAGTGAAGGGTTCCCTTCACCCTTGGAACTGAAATCCAGGCTTTTCATTTGAATTCATGATAATTTTATATTCCAATCATTATGGTATGTGATATAGAACACTAGAGTCAGGGTTCCAATCTCATCAATGTTATTTAATTCTATAAAAATAAAACAAACAACAAATAAAATCCATAGACATTCTTAGTCAAGAATCCTTCAAGAAAATATAAAAACAACAAAACCTTAACTAGTAAACAGCTTTTAGATTCCATTACAATTTTTATAAAGTCAATTAACCATATTTTAATTACACAGTAAAGCAACATATATCATCTAATGTAATCTAGCAAGCAACTAAATTTTCCACTATTTACCTCAATCCAATGAAAGAGGCAACCAGTTCCACCCTCAAGTATTATGAACCAAGCTAAGCAACATACCTCATAGCCAAACTGTCCCGTGTCCTAAAATGTTCCAAATTTGAGTTATACTTAACTGTGAATTAAACTACAACATGCTATCCATCCACACTGGAAGCTTCAGTTATCAAGAAGGTTCTGCACAGTTCTCTTCCATTATAGGCATGGAGATGTATAGAATTATATAGTTTCTTTGTGTACCAAATGCTTAGCCCTTAAAACCCAAATGTCAAAGAAACATGTAATATAAAGACCACTGTAGTGAATATAAACATGACCTCCTTGCATGAGTAACAAGACCATACCTATCTAGTGGCATGCTGTTGACATGAGAAATAAATTTTGACTTGAATGGCTTTGCATCAGACTAATGTCTTTTAGTGTTGGTTCCTAGTAGGAAATTTGGAACAAGAATAAACTTATAATACTTTGTAATTGGCTCTACCCTACAAAAATACAGGATAAATTTGGTCAAAAAAATGAGGAAGTGTCCCTAACGATTTCGTGGCTTAAGACTTTCTGTAAGTTTAGCAATTCATGCAATTGAAACAAGAATTTGATGAGTTTATCAAGAAGTAAAACCATAAAAATTAACTAAGTTCAAGCATGCAGTGTCAGAGATTTGGTTCTAGTGAATTCCAGGATGCCCCTCTTTCTGTCCTTTCTTACTCATGCTTAAGAAGAGAAGCTAGCAATTTCCGTAACTCCGGAAGGATCAACAACTTTCTCCGAACCACCCATTCCTCCAGTGAGGGGGAACAGAGTCCCAATCAAAATTGAGCGAAATCGTGACAATAACAAGTCTACGAATAGCTATCGAAGATATATGCAAGAACCACATGGAAAATTACCGATCCCATCTCAAGGAATTAGGAAGAAGGAATACTGCGTTGGTTCCCCGAACGAATATCTGAGGAATAATAACTCTAGAGGAAGAAGGAGGGTTCACCTGCTGCGACGAATCTTCGGCGGTACGAGGCCTGATGTGGACGGAAACATGGGGCGGGAAGTCCCGGATCACGATGCAATCGGCGCCATAGACGGCCTGGACGGCCTCCACCTCTAGGCGGACGTCCTCCTCCGCCGCCATCGGGCCTTCCACGGACTCCGCGATGGAGGAGATTGCGTCTCCCTCCTCTATAGGATGGTTCTTGATCAGAGAGGGAAGAAAGAGGGGCTATGGAGGCTCCATTTACGGCCCTCGGCAATTTATATAGATCCATGGGCTTGCAGTTGTGGGCGCCGCCTTTGGGTTCACAATAGAAAAGACATGCTAATTACCGAAAGTAGGACGGGTATTTTTATTAGATGAATTTCCTAAAAAGCCCCTCGGCTGCAATTTTTTTTCATATTTATCAATCGATGTCGCCCTTTGTTATATTCCTTAGAATACACTTGTCGAGATACAATTGTAACTTTCGTCATCTTTGGTGGACTGATTCATAGGATAAAGTGACCTAATTTTTCGATTATAATATTTTTTTTATTGAGATTATAGTATTTTTCAAAACATTATAGCTCTATTCAAAGATATTATAATTGATGTAGAATTCTCTCTATTTTGATTTTTTATTCCTAAATCAATAAAGATAATTTTTTGAGATCCTATTTTTATATACGAGTTAATTGCTATTGAATTTTGAGTCAATTGATCTTTTTTGAATATGCTCACAGTGTCTTAATGGTGGTGTGAAACACACTGTAAGTCTACAGTTCACCTTATCAATCAGTCTTAGGATATAATCGGATATTACTCGAATTGTCTTATCAAAGGGATAAGGGATCATGGCAAATAGAGGTGCTCTTTGGAAAATATAAAGATTATATAGATTTAAAATTGGTTTAAATAGAGGTGCCATTTTGATTAAATATAAATCAAAATTGATTTAAAATTATTATATAGATTAGTAATAGTTACAAATAATGACCGTGTTTATTTTTTCATTGTTTCTTTTTTTGTTTTTTATTTCTTTCCTTCTTTTGTGTTCCCGGACTAATAATTTGGAATTTTGTATATAATGCATTAATTTTCATTTCTTTTCCTTCCTTTGTCTTTTCTCATTCTCAATGACATGACATTTTTATATTATAGATTAATATTTGACTGTTTGAATCACTAAGAGTCGATCTTTTTTTTTTTTTAACCACTAAATGATACATATATGTTGCTACTATGATGTTGTCGATCGTGGATCGACACAACTCAATCAGGTGGTCCTTGTGGCAGTCGAGTGAGGAGGTCATTGTTGAAGATGAGTCGACTGAGGTGGATTCGAGGCAGTCATCATGTGCCTGGAGCAAACTCTGAGTTCTTCGAGGTTATGTACAAAGGTTAGTGTCGAGGAGATTTGCCAACCTATCCCCTCCGATGATCAAGTTAGGTCTCCGAGGAGTAGAAATAATAAGAATAAAGAAATATTTCAAGTGTTTAGAGTCCGATCTCTTTTCAAGTATCGGGGACTGATTTTTATATTTGGGGAGCCAGGAGGGCACGATTGACAATAAATTAATTTGTACATTCTTTTTCTATGATTTATTTATGTGAACGTTGATCCATATGACCCTCGCAGTACATCGTCAACAAAAGACGATAGAAAATATGTAACTTGTCAATCTTGATGGTTGATAACATCAAGTCGAATAACTCCCTACGAGCTATCATCCATAAGGGCTGACCAATGGATGGGGGGGAGAGAGGGGTGGGGGGTGGGGGACCATTGTTCTCGACGTATCTTATCGCAGGTCATAGTCTATCATGGTCGGTAGACTATCGCGTCGTTGGTAGGATGACATAAGCTTTTGTCTTTCACAATTAAAGCAATGATTAACTTCAAAATATTTCTTATCAATATCCTTCTTATAAAATTAATTCTGACATTTTTTTAACATGATACATCTTCTCAAGATCATCCCTTAGGTGGGTAAAATTTTGTCTTAGGATGGTGACCAATGATTACATGTTTTATTTCTATAAATTTTTTTTAAATATATTTTTATTAGATTTCGTGATTAAATTTAATCTAGTATTGGTATATGTTCTGACACCTGCTACCTTCTCTCAAAGGGAATACATAAGATTTTTTATATTATAATTGTATAGTATGGCCATATATACACATATATACATATACATATACATATATGTATACATATACATATACATATACATATACGTATATGTATACATATACATATACATATACATATACA